AGGTTAGTGTTAATAGCGGCCCGAAGGTTAGCCCAGAAAAGAGCACGCTTGCTCCTCTCCTTCGGCCACTCCAGGTAGGTTCGCTTTGCCATGAGAGCCTTCAGCTTGTGGTACCTGGCAGGGATAATGTACGGAGGGATCGGCTCCAGCAGAATGAGGATTAAGCTGTTGGAATTCTCACTGAACAGTTTGTGATGGGCAAAGTACAGCTCGTAGTGACACCACTCGCTCTGCACAAAGTTGGGGGACAACACAAAGACCGACCGGTAGCTCTTCTCAATGCAGTTGATGATGTTCTCCACGATGCTCTTGCCGGGGATGAAGTTCCTCTCGTGCTGGCACAGCTGCACGCAGCCCTCCCCCTTCTCCAGGTTCGGGATCAGCTCGTTCTTCACCCACAACGAATCGCGCTCGCTGTAGGAAACGAAGGCGTGAAACTGCAGCACGCTCTCCTGCTCTGCGGGCTGGTTGTGCCAAGCTCTCCGCTTCGTCTGCGTCCACTGCCACATCATGCGCACGTACCACGGCACGTCCAAGTAGATGCACAGGAAGACCACCACAGCCACCAGCACCAGCGTCAGCAGCAGGGCCGTCACAAGCAAGAGCGCCGTGTTGCAAGCCAGCTCGCTCAGGTGGAAGTCCTTCAGCCGCGTTCCTCGCAAGTCCTCCGGGTACTCGCACACGTACGCCGCCGGCCAGCCAAACAGCTTCCCCCCGGAACGCCTCTCCAGGCGGATGAAGTCTTGCAGTTCGCAGGAACACTTGAATGGGTTCTGCCCGGCTTGTAGCTCCCTCACCCCCAGGCAGCTCTGGAAGAAGTTGGCAGACGGGGTCAGGATCAAATTCATCTCTACGTTCAAGAACTCCAGGGATGTAAAGCCACCGCAGCCCGGCAGGTCAGCCAGCCTGTTCGACGCCAGGTTCAGCTCTTTCAAGGATTTCAGCTCAGCCATGCCCTCGGGGACACTCGTGATCTGATTGTTTTGCAGGTCGAGTTTTTCAATGTTGACTGGCAAGCACTCAAACACAGCATCCGTCAACTGATTTGAGGAGAGGTCCAGCTCTGTCAGAGACTCTGCCCATCGGCACTGCACATCTGCTGCATCATGGCGCAGCAAGTTGCTGCTCATGTCCAAGTATTTCAGAGATTTCATAGGGTTTGTCATGAAGCTTACCTTGGAAAGGGTCTCAAATTTATTC